CCAATATGATTTAAAACTAATTCAAATAGATTGATATTAATAAAGATCACCTGTACTTTAATATAAAATATAAAAATTATATATTTAAATTTTATGCTCCGGCCTCATACTGGTTTCCAGTTCCTAGTTTTATCTTATAATACAATTTTTTACATTGTAAAAAATTAAAAACATATATAAATAATATTTTAAAATTGATCAACTTTATTTTTTTTTTTAGCATCAGTAAAATATTTACTTATATTAGGGCCTTGCCACCATTTGTCAATACAAACTAACTTCTTAACCTTCTCACCGTTCCTCAACTAATCCTCATCCGTCTTCTACTCCTTATCAGAATGATAGGGATTCCCTCCTTTGCTTTTTATTAATTTCTCCAGGTTGTCCCATAAATATCTCCTAATTCTTTTATTTCCTACTTTTATTAAATACAATAATACTTTTCGTCTTCTTTTCCTCTTCTATAATATAGTAATTTAAATTATTATATTTTACTTACAAATCATTTACCTGATAAATCAGTAAGAGATTACTGATATATTAGGTAAATGATTTGTGGGCTAAGAACAAATCATTTACCCAATATATTGGTAATCTCTTACCGATTTATCAGGTAAATGATTTGTTAGTCAAGTAACTCTAGAATTGATTTAAAAAATAATTTACATGACAAATTTTATTATGCTTACCTCATTCACCTTACTATTTTTTTCTATTCTGGCACGATTGTAGGCCTTTAATTTTGGATTAGCATTTATTGTTGCTATCCAACGCTGCGTTTTATGATGTTGTTTTAAAATTTTTTCAATCCCACCAGAATGGTGCCAATATCCTAGTAATTTTTTTGTAATAGCCAGAATCAGCTTTTGCATCATGTTCTGCAATTAGCTAGCCCATTGTTTAGTCAGATCAGGCTTTTGGTCAGATAGCTTACCACCTTTTATTAATATTTTAATTTTATCATTTGGTAATAATAATTATAATAATATTAATAATAAAAGTAAATCAATTATAATAACATTAATAAAAGTAAATTAATTATAAAAACAATAATAATAATAAAAGTAAAAAACAAATGAACACAAACGTGAGACAAATAATATTTACTCATAAGTAAGACCTCTGCTCATCTGTCAATACTTTCGGTACATCCTCACTTGAACTGCTGCTACTGCTACTAGACCTGCTAGTACTGCTACTTGTGCTCCTACTAACTGACCTACCACTACCTCTACTACCTAATCTACCTTTCTTTTTACTAACCGATTTACCTCTTCTTCTTTTAACCGATTTATCTTTCACCTCACTTTCATCTTCGCTACTAGTAGCTTCTGAGCTACTAGAGCTTGAGAGTGATGTTGATCTTGCTCTTCCTTTCTTCTTACTAAATACTGCTGCGACTGCTTGAGCTACTGCTTGTACAATAAAACTTGCCTCCACTAAATAATAGATTATTGTTGTGTTAATGATATATTAAAGTTACCACCTTTTATAAACCTTACATTTTCTTTT